TGCAGTACATTTAACAACACGAGGAAACCAGTCACTGACAGCTCTTGTCCATAGGTTGTCGTTCATAAGCATTACGTGACCGACCCATTTTATCCTTGACTATTTGGCGTACAGAACGGCATCTTTGATTTTTGATCGTTAACGCAGATCAGAGCTTCGGATCCCATCCCTTACTCGTGTGGAACGGGATACTCCTAGCATTGTCCTTTCGACTGCGCGTTCCATAAGGCTGAGTGATCCTTCATCCTGCCTGCGCAGCGACGAGGGTTTTGACGCATACGTTAGGGCAGGAAGTACCGTTGAATCGAAAATGTGGGCACGGAGTAGGGTGCTCTTTGTTCTCTTCACTACATCCCCGATGCTCTTAAAAGCTCCCCAAACCGCTCCCTTCCTTCTGATCAGTTCTGGAGTTAGGTTGTTCATTATATTGACTTCCCGACCTAGATAGATATGACTCGAGCATTCGGAGATATTCTTTCCGTTGAGCGTTAATGGGGTATATGAAGCCAATCCGCTCCCTATAAACGTCGTTTTCGTGAGATTTAGTGAAAGACCGATTTTTCCACAGGCTTTATCAAAGTCGTCAAGCATAAGTTTCGCTTGGCTAATGTTTGGTGTTATAAGGACGACGTCATCAGCAAAGCGAAGATGGTGTAACTACCAACCATCGATTTTCACTCCTATATTGCCCCATTCCAATGTTTACACGACGTTCTGGAGTATGGCGATAAATAATTTTGGCGAGATGGTTTCGCCTTGCCTAACGCCTCTTTTGACGTCAATGTTGATATCGTTATAGAATGGTGATACCTTGGTTGTGAAATTTTTGTACAGCTCACGAAGAATCTTTATGTACTGAGTAGGGACTCCTTGACCAACAAGGGCTTCCAAGATTGCTTCTCTCAACTGAATCAAAGGCCTTCTGTAAATCGATGAAAGTGAGACAGAGCATGTCTTGTGCACTCGCGACTTCTCCAAACCCTTCTCGCTCACACGGCTGCCCTTCGTCTAGTGTTCTGTCAATCCTGTTTAGCATGACTCGAGTGAAAAGATTGTAGACGACAGACAGCAAGCAGATTGGGCGATAGTTGCCGATATCGTGTAGGTCACCCTTCTTGAACAATAACACGCTCTTGATGATCGTCGACTGAGTAGGGACCTTGCATTCAGACAGGTAACGTGTGAACAGCCGAGTCAGTGTGTTCACCAGGACTGGAAAAAGGTTCTTCAGGTGTTCTGGTATTATCCTGTCCGAACGTGGAGCTGTTCGATTTTTCACCGACGAAATGGCATGTCGGATTTCGGAAGGGAAAACCGGTGGTACAACATATCCATCCTCCTTTATTTCATATGACGGAAGGTGGGCGTGGCTATCAAGGAGATTCGAGTAGTATTCGTGAATGATGTTCTCCATTGCCTTTCTGGACTTGCGAATGCTTTTTCCAGCCTTTGCAGCTTCGATCATTACTGCTGCTCTTCTCTCTTTAAGGTCTTCTTTTATTGCCTGTCTGCATTGTTTTGCATGTTCGAAAGTTAGTTCGCGGCTGGCTGCAGATCGTGTGATTCCACGCTAGTGCATCAGCTCGAGTGTTTCTTGGTGACTTTCCAACTCTCAGCTTTAAAATGTTGAATGACTCAATCGTATTCTTCGTCGATGTTATCCACAACGGCACCTTTCCAACAACCGATTATAGAATTGAATAAGTCCCACTATAAGGCGGTTTTGCGACTTCGGTTTTTGAATCCAGGGGCTTTTTGTCCTCTCCAAGACAAATAGAATTTTGCACGTAGGAGGCGGTGGTCTAATCTCATGCGGAATTTTGGAACAGCGGCTACATCGGTTAGGCAAAACATTCTATTTACTATTATGTGGTCTATTCCGTTATAGTACTCTCCAGTACTTATAGTACTCCACTGGAAAACTCCCACGTCCAGCGTTGATGGTGGGGCTTCTGGAATTGCGAGTTACCATGGACATCCTTGGTCGCCATGATAAACTCAGACATCTGCTCACCCTGGTCGTTCCATTCTAATCCGTGGGTCCCAATGTGACGTTCGCCAGACGTTCTTCTTGGTCCAGTCTTGGCGTTGAAATTTTCAATGATAACCTTAAAGAATGTGTGGACTTCTTTGTAGTACTTCTCCAAGTCCATATAGAACGCTTCGACTTCTTCTTCGTCATAGTTTGATGTCGGTACGTAAACGACGAAGATTGTCAAAGCCGGAATTGGTCCACGTCTCCTTAATCGTGAACGTCAGATTCGGGTTGCAAGCTGTTCGACCGAATCGGTGTTCATGGACACACGTGTTGACGAGAACGCCGACACCGTCAACTCCTCTACTGTCGCATTTTCCGAGAAACAGTTCATTTCCGGTGTCATAGGGTGCGTTGAATGGGTGGCATCGTCTCGTCTCGGCCAGGCCGTTGACGTCGTACTTTATCCTATTTGCTTGCATAAGTAATTCTTCTATCGAAGACTCAGATACAAGTCTACGTGCATTGTACGTAAGGATCGTCACCATAGTTCTTCGTGGTCCAGGCAGCTTCCATTGGTCTCGATATTTTAGCAGCCTCTCCCTACTCGTCCTACCCAACGCTGCGAAGTTGGGAGCTTTTTCAGGTCAGGGGAATGAGGCCCGTTTTTTTTTTACTGCGTTTAGCATTTGTGAAACCGACGTATAGCTCGCTGGGCTCTGAACGTGGGGGCTGATCATACTCACGGGTAGCTTACCAAGCTCTCCTAGAGTGGACATAAGCTTATTTGTTGGAAGCGGCTCCCAACCGCCTCCCATATGCTTCCCGGTCACCTGATTGCAGGCTTTTGACCGAATTGACTCGTAGAATAGAATCCGCATGAGCGAGAACGCACCCACACACCCATGCAATGAATACGCCTAGCAAATACAGAAAGTATGTTTTCTTCGTATTTTTATTGAGCAAACGCGAGGTGTTATTATTCTTTGTTCACGATTAAGCTGACGTTTCGGCGGATTTCGCCAGAATTATAATGGAAGTACATTATAATTCTATGTGATTTCTGTGCGGTTGGTCTCTACGTGACATACTTAATGGAAACCTCATAGGAAGCGGCTCTGAGGAAGGTGAAATCCGCCGAAACGTCAGCTTAATCGTGAACAAAGAATAATAACACCTCGCGTTTGCTCAACAAAAATACGAAGAAAATTACTTGATCAATGCCGAGGTTAATAGAAAGTCGGTCGTGGCAGTTACAGAAAGTATGTGCCAAATCGGTGCAGCACCATCCCCTGGATTCACCTGCGTCTCATGAAAGCAAAGGTGACTTTTGGTCCGCGATTATCCACCTATCCGCCACCTGGCGACGCGCCACGTAGCTTCGCGACTAACCGGCTCGAGATCCCTCATATTAGGGAGATCCGTGGGAGTCTTATAGCACAACAAAAGCCCAATGAGAAAAACACTGGCTGGTTGATCTGACTTTCCAAATATCGTAAAAGAACATTATAATGCATCTCAACCCCTTTTCGCAAACAAAACCAATTTCGCCAACTCCTGAGCGCCTAAAGATGGTGAAGACGGTTTTAAATATCTGAGCTATTTTAACTATACTGCAAACCTGTTTTAGTTTCAGTTACTTAGTGAAAGAGCTTTGATTTGGAATTTTATTGCCATTGGTCTCACTGATCATCGAGTATGTGAACTCACTGTCACGACGATTTATTCAGGAGACACGAAAAGAGTCACATTTTCGGCACTACTGTTGAAAACACACACAGTCATCGGTTAAATCTCAAATTCTATGTAAACTAAGCTACTCCATCTTTCCGAAGTCGGCAATTTGGTGACAAACCTACTTGGCAGGATAGAAACGGGCTTGACATATCTGTAACTTAGTGAAAGCGACTGTGTATCCAAAACCTGCATACGAACGCCTCTACGACACCAGGAAAGGAGTTGGATAGATGGTGCATTCTTCATTGATTGAATGACGTCGAAAGCTTTGTCCTTTTGTGCTCAAAGCATAGTGTTAACCGAATGATTGGAAATTTACAGGCAGTACAACAGAAATGGTCATCACCTGGCTAACGTTTAGTGATACAGAGAAGACACTGGTGAACTACGGCTTAATAACTGATAAGAAATTGTCGTCGGTGAGTAGATGGTTGTCGTTGATACAAGAAAAGCTGTTTTATAAAGAATGAAAGCTATAATTGCTCTCTAATGAGTGATAAAAACAGGCAATCGTTCGCCATTTGGTGATGTTGTCGTTAGGGAAATCAGATAGAGTTGAAAAAACGACAAATTTTCCATATGTTCAGATCGTTGAGGGCAAATGCAGCGAGTTTTCGGAGCCATCGAAAGAGAAGAATAGAATTCGATACATTCATCGTGCGGTCCTAACGGGTCTCACGCCTGGAACCACATATCGTGAGTGTTTTGAGATTCAAAGAAAAGAAGCGATTGTTGCTATAACTGGCAACCACAGTTTACTAAAACTGACAAAATCGAACTACGCATAACTTAATCTTTACCCTGGTCTATTCTATAGAAGAAAAGTCTTTCTCAGGTTCACTCTCAAGTTTTTCACCGACATTGTAGTTTACCGCGTAAACTTATGCCTGGAAAAGGTATGGGCACGAAATTACTGGAAATTTCCTCAAATTAGGGTATATCTCCTTGGAAAGAACCTCTGTTGTTAATCGCAGTTCGGCTACCACAAAGGGGACAGAATTCCTTCATATCACAAAAAACAGTCGTCATTGAAATATTATGACACAATAGAATTTTGACTCGCCCTCATCGAAGCAATGTAGCCGGCACTTAGATTGCCACTTTCTTCACTTACTTTCATGATTTTTTACAGTGTGCGTGGAGATAAAGATTTATGTTCATATAAATACATGGCTTCCTTAGCTGTTTTTGTTTATTTTTTCGCTTATTTACCTTTGTTTGTTGTTGTATGTGTAATTTAGAAAAAAATCTAGGTGGAAATTGCACGAGAATAAGTTAAAGATTCTAGAATATCGTGTTGGCAGTGAATATGGATGGAGTGCTGTGTACAGATTCACTGCATTGAAGCCAAGAAGTGATGGAGGCTACGTGATCGCTGTGTTCGGCGATCTAGGAAATCAAAATGGTCGTTCGTTGGCTAAACTTCAACGAATGGCACAAGACGGTGATATCGACCTGGTTCTGCATGTGGGTAGGTACTTCAAGACGACATTCGTAGATACACTACATACATAAATACACATTTGCCCACGTATATATGGCGCGTGGAATGAAGTTAACCCTGTTCCTGGCCTGCGCCTAGGATGATCATATATGGATTCTCATAGCTGAAAAGGTGCATCTGGAGCTATCAGTGTGAGTAGGATAGGCCAACGGCGTGTGCATTAGGCTAATCGGGCGTCTGAGAGAAACGTTAACCTTAGTCCAAGCAAAATCTCGAACCTCATTCAGTAACCATATAGAATCACGGGCTGTGGATTCTTATGGATTAAAATCATATAGCTGAGTAGCTTCAGTGTGAATTTTACATTTTACGATTTACAGTATAAGCACTGTTTAACATCCATTATCGAACTGTCATTTTGGCACAGCAGCGCTACTCCTAAAAAATAGGATGTTGAAATACACAATTATTTTTACCGCACCTCTCTGTTAAAATGATAAAATAACATTAACAGATTCTAACAAAATTTCTTAATTTTAGCGGTTTTCATAATAACTCCCACGCCCGACTTTCTATTAACCTTGATTAAATAATTCTTCCTACTTTGTGCAGCAAACACGAAATGCTATTTTATTTCTTTATTTACGTACAAGTTAACGTCCCGGCGGATTTCGTTTCCTCAGAGCCTGGAAAGGTTAAGTTGACAGCAATCCACTGGGCCAAACACTTCCATAACCAAACAAAGAAAACGCTAAACCAAGATTTCAATCACATTTAACACAGCTCTGCACACTCACCGCTTTCTATGAGTCTTCCACTGAGTGCGCCGTGTGAAGACCGACCGCACAGAATTCACATGGAAGCGTAATGTGCCCCTCCCATCAGAATAACAAGTTTATATACTGTCTAATATCACGCGTGATAACAAGGCATTCCCCCCTGCGGTTCATTTTCGGATTCTTGGAGTTAATCCAGAATGCCTCTAGAGTTTTACGCGCTTTGTTCTCGACTCTTGCACGAGGATCGTATGTAGGTTAAAGATTTCTATAATATCGTGTTGGCAGTGAATATGGATGGAGTGCTGTGTACAGATTTTTTGTACAGATATATCTCAAAGTGACATATTTAGTGGAAGACTCATAGAAAGCGGTGAGTGTGCGGAACTGGGTTAAATGCGATTGAAATCTTGGTTTAGCGTTTTCTTTGATTGGTTATGGAGGTGTTTGGCCGAGTGGATTGCTGTCAACTTGACCTTTCCAAGCTCTGAGGAAGGCGAAATCCGCCGAAACGTCAGCTTGCACGTAAATAAAGAAATAAATAACATCACGGGTTTGCTTAATATTAGCGATTAGAACACGAAATATGACTTCTTGATTAGAAACGATTCACAAAAGGTTCTGATTAGTCTCTTCACCCCTGATATGAAGACACTCGAACTTAGTTAATTGCAGAAAAGCAAAATCGAAGACTTTTCATCGAATGTATTTTAAAAATCAAGCATGAGCAATTTAATCGAATCGTTTCGTGGGTTCTTGCTAATAAGGCCCTAGCGATCTTAGGTGACATTGCTTACAATCTGGACACTGACGATGGTAATGTCGGTGATGAATTTCTTCGACAGATCGAACCGATTGCCGCCTATGTGCCCTATATGACAGCAGTGGGAAATCATGAGGTATGCAAGAAGTTCGATACAGGTGAAAAAAAGACAAACAACATCCACATAGAATAAATAGGACAAATATTTGTGATTTAAGAGTGCATCAAATTTCTCACACTACATTAATCGATTCACAATGCCGAATTCCGAGCACAATTTATTCTACAGGTGAGTTTGAAACGAAAAATCTAAGTGAGAATCGACATATAGCATTTCTATTGCTTGTGATATACACAAAATTGCAGTGGCGTTGTCGTTCTTTCTTCCGTTTCCCATCTCTCTGGTTCTTAGAATATCCTTAAACCTTGTTTGGCCATTATCCGTCTTTAAACCTCGCCGTAATTCTTGTAATTATAATATTTCGCTACTAGCCGGGATAAACGAAAACAACATGCAACCACAACGTTGCTGAGATATTTGCAAAACTCTGGACCGCAGGTGTCTATGGTGGGGAACGAAAGCGCTATTATCCTTTCCGGGGAGTAACGCGTTCACCACCACACCATGCAGGTCCTTCGATGGATTTCATTTCATCAACAAAGTATTCCAAGCTGAGAACTTCGACTTTTCCATCTGGAAAGCTGGCTAAGAGTGTATTAGTGCCACAAGCATCTTACATCTGGGTAACGATTTAGTCACTGGCATGGAAATGGTGACGACCAAGGAACACTGTAGCACAGCTTTTGAAACACCGAGGAATTGAAACCTTGCGTGAAGATCAGTCCGGTGAAGATTATGCGGCAGTTGTGCTGAATTGTGCGCGAGTAAATCGCGAATACGGTTATTCAGATATCTGAATAAGTATACAGATAGTTTGTATTCCAATCCTCTTAACAGTTTGTATACCAATCTTCTTAACCTTATAATTTCCGTTTTTAATTTTTCACACTGAAATCCAAACTTCAATCAAGAGCATTGAAAAAGCGCAGATGCAAGAATTGAAGTAGAGGTGGAAGCCGCACTGCTCACCACCGGCACTTATGACAAGTTATCTTAAATGGAAGGCTTTTCTAACAAATGGAGCATACCGTCATCCCATCCACAGAGGTTGAACAAAAGAATAAACTTGTTGCAAAGATTATTTCGCCAATTGTGGATGAATGAAGCTCAGGCAGATGAGCAACTACGATTTGGGCTAGCATGCTGATGAGGGGATAACATTCCAGCTAATTTTTTCCAACCACTGTACTCAACTTGAGGAGAGAAAAAGCAACCGTATCGAAAGCTCGACCACCTGTAGATCATCGACTCGGATCAATCCAGTTCTGAAAATGACGAAGGCGTCGAAACGTTAGCCGAAAAAAACCTTTTTATCAACCTCGCGTTAGCTCACTACTCCAAGGAAGTATTCCAATTATAGCTGTCAAGAAAGCTGCAGAGAACATGACTTGCTCATTGTGTTAACCTTTATCGGCAACGAAAAAACGTTCGTAGCGTCAAAACGAATGCTATCTTAGTAGTACTCGTTGACTGAGTGAAGTCATCCTATGTAATAACTGTGGTTCATAACTGCATCACGGAGATACAACTCTTCCATCTACATTTCACCTTCCCCGTAGAGACATAACTTTGAACGGGCAACATCGTTTCCTTAAAATTGTTCACCGTTGAGTTTCCTTGCATAACTAAAGAACTCGTTGGAAAAAAGAAGTGTACACATTAATGGAAATTTCCAACTTAGCTTTATTGGTGAAATCTTTTCGAAGAGTATCAGTGAAGCAGAATCGAGGCCCAAGGTAGTTAAAGAGGGTATAAAAAAAATTTTAAAGCCATGCATAGGTCTGAAACATACTCTATTCATGGGAAATCCACTCGCATAACGCAAAGAGAGATAAAACGAATTGATTTTCTTACTACAAAGATCGCAGTCGCCTTTCAGACTTAATAGGCCTCCAGCGCTCTAATCAGCAACGGGAGCGCGCGTAGATAATTCAGCCACGTCAGGACGTCAAGAAAAAGTGCCAACAGAGAAGCGCTTAAATGATGTCTTCTTGAACATAGCCACACATACATACATAAGTTAGTATCCAGCAATGATCTCGTGTCTACCGATTCATCGTTATTTAAGGTTAGACCCATCATTAGCTGCGTGGACGGGCCAACGGATAGAAAAGCGTGGTTAATAACCCTAATACTTACTCAGTTGTTAAGGTACATTCCAGCTCATCTAACGAACACCTAAATGTTCTTGGATCGTCTACGTAGCGCGCGACCCAACAGCGCGTATGTGGTGGAGTCCTTCGACGTCACTGCCCTCTTTAAGAACGTGTCGAATAACTCCGCTATGCAAGCCATCTGCGAGCTCCTTATACAACACGAAGGAGCAATAAACATGTACGGCTTTTCGATTTAGCAGTTGATGACACTCTTAAAAGTGTACCTAAACTGCTCAATCTTCAGATGGTTAGGAAATAAGACCCACAAATGAGGGAGTTGGCCATGGGGCATCGAGATGCACCAAGCCATGCCACTGCATTCATTTCTAAGGTGGAAGCACCAGTAATCGACCTCGGTCCGTTACTCTACTGTAGATATATAGATGACTGTTTGGTCATTTGTTCAACACAAGAAGAAATTGACAGATGTTTCGAGTTGTTGAACGAACAGTCAGAGTATATTAAATTCACTCGAGAGAAGCCAAAAGAAAACTGGCTTCCATTTCTGAACGTGCCAATTAACCTATCAGAAAACGGCTACATTACGAAATGGTATCGAAAGCCAAGTAGTAAAAACATCTTGATTCATTACCTCTCCTCTCACCCCTCTCACACAAAAAGGGAGCTTGTGAGAAACATGTATCGAACAGCTACCAGCGTGTGCATAGGAAGACAACAGAGAGAGGAGTCCCTGAACTTGGCGCGGCAAATAGCCATTTCTAATGGCTACGAAACTGTAGCTCGAGATAAGTGTAGAGGAAACTACAGATACCCCAACGATAACTCTAGCGACAAAAAGGTCCCGTTTATCTTACCCTTCATCTCAAATGATGTAAGTGCAGCTATAAAACGCTGTTTAAGAAGGGCCAGTCTAGAGAATTCGGTAACGATAATTGAAATGCCACCGAGTAATCTAAGACGCCAGCTAGTTCGTAACCTCCTATACGACCGTCTATGTGCAACGCAAAATTGCATAATTTGTCCCAATGGTAGAGACGGTGACTGCATGAGTTCGGGTACAGTCGATCTGATTTCTTGTAAAGCGTGCGGGGACGAATACGTTGGTGAAACGGGTAGACCACTCTGCGTACGTATAAAAGAACACCTAGTCGGCAAACGTAAACCAAGTGCTCTACTAGGCATTCATAGGACGCAGAGACATTACGGAAAAGATTTTGAAGCAATGGTTACGATCCTCGCGCAATAATCAAGAACACAAGCGCGCAAAACCCTAAAGGCATTCTGGTTTAATTTCAAGAATCCGAAAATGAACCGCAGAGAGGAATGCCTCATTATCACACGTGATGTTGGGCAGTATATAAGCCTGTTATTTTGATGAGATGGGCTCAATACGGTTCCGTGTAAACTCTGTCCGGTTGGTCTCCACGTAGCATATTTAGTGAAAGACTCATAGAAAGCGGTGAGTGTGCAAAGACTCTGTGTTCAATGTGATTGAAATTTTGGTTCGGCATTTTCTCTGTTTGGTTATGGAGGTGTTTGGCCGTGTAGATTGTAGTCAACTTGACCTTTCCAGGCTCTGAGGAAGGCGAAATCCGCCGAAGCGTCAGCTAGTACGTAAATAAAGAAATAAAATGAGATCTCGTGTTTGCTGAACAGAAGTAGAAAGAATTACACATACATACGTTAGTCCGCAGTTCACACCAAAGCGAACAATAGCATGTTCTTGGTTCGAGAGAATGTACTTCAAGAACGAAGCACAGATAGGCTTGGAACTTTCAAAAAGGATATTCGACAACAGATTTGAGAAAAAAAAACAGTATGGTGAACTCAATGAGGAATCGTTTTCCAGAGTATCTACCTGCAGACTTACGACCATATTTGGCTCTGACGTCAAAAAAGTTGCATTCGTAGCTGGAAATAGTTTTTTGATTTCTAGTTCGTGAAATAATAGATGAAGATGTTAAAATCCTCGAAAGACACAATGACCATGGCTGTCATTCACGAAGAATGAAGGAAGGATATGCTTGGAACATATGTTGGATCCCAAAAGAGTTGTGAGGATGGACCATCATAGCATTCAAGCGTTTATAAAATTTATCCCCTTCGTGTTTTATAGTGGAGTTGCTCGAGTAGTAGACTGCGCACGTTTGCATGGTCTATGAAGACCATAGGGCCACATCGAAGATATTCACAGCAAAAGTATGAGCTCTTTCTTTTGAATTTTAGTTTCGATCTTGGTAGCGCGCATTTTGTCTTCTTCTCCACCGAATTTTATTTCTACACTGAATACGGATGGAAGCAGATTCAAAATCAATGGAATTGGCTGATCGACGATTTAATGGTCAGATATATTTCAATTCAACACTTAAGCCGTTATGAGCTCCATGCATTTCTTTCTTTTAAGAGCTTTTAAAAAAAATCTGCAAACTAAGCCTTTCCTAATCAAAGACACAAAAATGTCTTCCTATTTGAAGAAAGCTAACAAGAATAGGGCCACCGTGCCTTGGATCCTCACCTTTGGGCATCGGCCTATGTACTGTTCGGATTTTGATGGAGACGACTGCACGAAATACGAGTCGATTGTGAGTTCATTATTTGGAACACTTTATTTTATAGTTTGCTGATACTTTTCAAATTTATACCTCTTCCGATGTAGTTCTTATCTGACAAATTTTCAAACGCACATAGACTCAGTTGCAAAATTAACTTCGTTGAGTCAATAACTGCACAAATATGCAGAAATACCAATAATAGTAATAATAATAATAATAGCAACAACAATAATAATAACGGTCGCCTATATAACCCGAATATGTGGATTTCATCCATTGTGAAATCCCTTCCGGTTGACAGCTAATCCAAATGCCGAGTGCTCAGGTTGATTATAAAAATTGGAACACAGTCTAAGGATATGCGTTAGGCTCCGTTAAGTACAGTAGAGGTGACTGAAAGCAGAGAACGATAAGGTATAAAGGATAAAGCTCTCGACGTTGATCAATCCTTGAGGGAAGCGCTATGCATTCGACTTCATTAAGTATCGTTGGAGGTGATTGAATGCATATCTGGCCTTCACAATGATTCGCGGTGGCCAACCGATGTATCAAGCCAGTGCTGCTATCTTGCCAGATAAGTAACAGGCACCAACGATCCCGGAGGTATGGAAGGCTTGGTGGGTCATGGGCCCGGGGATCGATTTCACTTGTGTGTCACAGTTGCGCCTCCAACACACGCGCTCCTAGTGAACGATATACGAAGTCGATGTTTTGATAATCGCTGACAATTTATGTATAAAGTTGTCTACTCCGAAGTGATTTAGGACATGGTTAGCTACAGAAGTACTAACCCATAAATAGTCGATGTATTTGAATACATATAGATTGGATCTCGCATTTCTATTCTATCAAAAATCTGTAGTAAAATTATTGTAAAGGAAAATGAATGAGATTGGGAGCCGCTTCCAACGTGAAAATGTAGCAAATATTGTGATTGACGTTAAGAGAGTACTCTATAGAGTTTCAACAAACGAGGGTGAAGTATATTCTGTGAATTCCAAAAGCTACCCGCTGTCACACGCAACGCTTCGTAGGATTCAGCAACAAGCATGTGCACCGTCACATCCGAAAAAGTAAAAATTACAGCCGCAGCTCCATCAATGTGGACGGAGCCTTCACTACATTTTAAGTACTCAGTAGTGTCGTCATGGGTGGCACTGGTTGCTATCGTAACCACTTGCGTTTTGGCAAAATCAGTCAATGAACATGAAAGAACACCTTTTAGTCTTTCGTTATCAAAATGAGTTTTGCAACCCGCGGCGTTTCGTTGATGATTAGATGTTTTGCTTAGTATAACTTCCATTTCTAGGCACCCTTTATTCTGCTAGGTTGTAAAAGAAAAAATATAAAGGGAGAAGGACAGGAATAACATGCAGATTGTCAACGAATTTTTTAAATGTTCAGATCTAGAATTGCTCTAAAAGGCTGCCATAGCGCTCTCTACTGCCGCACTATCATTAAGATTTCGGAAGGTAATACCACCGGATTACATAAAACCTGCTTCCAATCGCTACAAGTAATAGCCGACAATGATAACGATGTGAAACCCATGAGTGATCTCCGCTGAACTTGTATATTCTGCAGTTAATCTGTTTAGTCGTCGGAGGGTGACAATAGTAGCTTAACAATTGACCACAGAGGGTGCTGACGTTAAAGCTCCAATATGACCACGATTATGGGTGGGAACACAGCCCAAGATCATCTTCAACAAGAATACCCCATGCCTGCCCTCCTGAAGTTGCATGCAAAGTGTGTCCAACCTCAAAGAAGAAACTTCAGCGAATTGTTTCTGGATATGGTGCCCAGTACGTTCTTTAAGTAATTATGTCACAATGAGTAGTGCTAGCGCTTAACAATTGCAAATGGACACTTTAGTAGTGTCTATTCCAGCCAGCTCTTCTAGACTAGCAGGAGCACTGTTAAAGCTGATTCAGATGATAACTATAATTTTTAGATAGAAGTTGGGAAACAAACATGTGTCTAGGATGAAGGGCTTTCGCAGGAATGTGGTGTTTTGTTTTTTAAGATTAGAACTGGACTACCGAGAACGCATGCTTATGGCTTAGAAAAGCTGTTCTACCATCATGGAATCGACATTGAGATTTGGGCTCATGAGCATACCTACGAACGAATGTGGCCGGTCTTCAATAGAACGGTAGGAGAGCTATTTTATACTGATACTCTCAATTTTCTTCTTGCTTTGGGGCTTTCGTTTTTCGTCTCCTATTACGGATCTCTATATGATAGAAATTTCTTATCAGAAATATGTGGTCTTTCTAATCATCTTTACTTGTGACTAGTTTCTTTGTTTGTATTAGTAAGCTGTTGTACCAAAAAAGAACTTCGGCATTCGTTTTGATCACTTAGAAATGGAAATTTACACCTTTAGAAACTCTATTTGGTTAGTGGAAATAGTGAATTCGCACTGCCCTGGCAAAAATGTTTGGGTCATAACAAATCTTGTATCATTTAATATAGTTCATTGTGAATTGAGATATATCAACGTCACCAATTTGTATTAATTGTCTTTAATTGCAGAGTACTACGTAAAATATATCTGTAACGTTGCTGAGATGTTTGCAAGACTCCGGACCATAGGTGTCCGCGGTGGGGACCGAACATGCTATTACGCTTCTGGGGCTAACCCGTTCACCACCACACCGTACAGCTCCTTTGTTTCGCCTGTTCTCCAGCCGTTGACATATAAGGAGGAAGGATTTGCACGGTGTGGTGGCGAACGCATTAGCCCCCGGAAAGGGTAATAGCGCATTCGGTCTCCACCGTAGACTCCAGCTGTTTGGAGTTTTGCAAATATCTCAGCACCATTATGAGATATATCAGTTTAACATCGAAAGACTATTTTTGGCCATGTATAGACCATGTGTGGACCACAATTTTTAGAACTGCGCAGTTTTTTCATATTGCGAATTTGACCGAAAAGTTTAATTTTTGATAAGTCAGGTATATAACGGGACCGTTTCACCATACTTCAATCCCTTAGCGCCAGTGCACATCGTTTCCGGATCAGCGGTATGCTCATTTTAGGCTTTCATTTATGTTTTTATTTCTCTAAAATTTTCGGGTTGTGTACGATTGTTTATAGAGTGTAATAACGTTCAAACTGCGGCATCAAGCCGTAAGATAAACAATGTACAACTTTTGTCTAATAGCCATTACTTTTCCATGGAAGGATATTATGTGAAATACAACCATAATGATGCTAAAATGTTTGCAAAACTTGGACCCCAACTCAGATCGAACCGCTATTATCCTTTCCGGGATATCGCATGTTACGTACGATGCCACTGAGTCCCTTGCGCTGTCTTACTGTCAGCCAGTCTTTTTGAGAAACCACAGCCCACAAACTGCTTCGACGACAGCCTCAGCTTAACTGGGTTTAATGTCGATTTGTGTTCCCCAAATCAATCCCGTTGATGGGTGATTGTTGATGGCACTATTAAAGTGAAAAGGAAATGATCTGTGCCGAATCTATTACCATGATCCATATAAAAATAATCTATGTGGAAGATACTAATGAAACCCGATCTGAAATCTCACAGTGTATCTTCAATACATACGACCTAATGCGGATTGTTCTCCTAATTCTTGCCCATGCGAAAAAGTAACTTATGAATCATATGTCATAGCTCAGTTTTTTTCAACACTCTCGCTAAGACGCCTGATTTTCAGCCTTTCCGTGGGTTTTCCTGGGCTTTTTTAAACAAGCAATTAAGCAATAACAGAAGTATTAATTAATGGCTGCGTGTAGGGCAATGGTTAGAGGCGTTCTGGAATACACATGGATGCGACCCCGCACCCAGGATCACCATGCATTCCATTCCTCCGGAGTCGTTAAATTGGTACCAGATTTATCCGAGAGGATAGCAGCACTGACATGATAGGCCACCACGAGTTTTTGTGTGGACCAGATATGCATTCAGTCACCTCTAACGATGCACAATGAAGTCGAATGCATAGCGCATCCCTCAGGAAATGATCAACGCCGACAGCTTTATCCCTTTTTACAAACAATAATTTTCTGATAACTAGAGGACATTATTTCGCAGGATGTAACCATAAATAGTCGTAGAAAGCACTTTCCTTTATCGTTTTGTAGGTATGAATGGTATTTACGGTGCCATTTACTATATGTGCTACGATCAACCATACAAACGTATTGCTACCAGCGTTTGGAGGTCTTTTGGAACTTATCGAATCCTATTTCAGCATCCTTTAAATTCACAAACTCTAAGCGACAACTAACATTCACTATAGTAATTAGAATTGAAATGGAAGTCAAGTAGCACCCATTCGTGAACTCGTTTGGAAAACGTTTTCTTGCATAGTTCTAAGTGCAGAATAGAGACAACTTCTCTATTCAACAAGCTATCAATCGATAACGAAAAAATTTAAGGAATCAGTTGTATGTGTTAAAATAAACCGCCAAAATAAAAGGAAACCTGTAGACGCTGTACGGACCACAACTGCAAAATCATAATGACACCTATGGCTGTCACTCTTTGCGAAAGTATTAATACCGGCTCATTTAGCATCGGCTTGAATAATCGATATCTTAATTGTTTCGAATCGTTCTTTTTGGCTAAAAATACCTGTATCCGGCTTCTTTAGACCAGCGATGATTCTAACTGAGTGTCTGTGGCAGTTTTTTGCGATGTAGACCATCGTAGTTGTTTCACCGGGTGAAATTCTGAGAAGCTGTCGCGTTAGAACAGCTCATTCCAGTGGCAAGAATTGTCCTGAATGATACGACGGCGCTATGGTGACGACACCGCATTCGTGCCGTGCTCCACTCTACTGTCGAGTCCATACTGCAACAATGAAGACCCACCTCACAAGAAAAAGCTTCTGTGGAGATTTGCCTTAAATCATCGCCGCTCTGAAGAAGACAGTCTCTCTAAAACTTCAGTTTCAATGAAGATTTATTGCAGACTCGCGGTTGCTTATCAATAAATGAAGGTATTCGTAACTAAGTCGCTCACAAACTCAAAGATCATCAACGGTTTTTGCTATACTCTATTCACAAAGGCTAACGTTTCGGTGGATTTTGGCTTCTTCAGAACCTAGAAAGGTCAACTTGACTGCAATCCACCCAGCCAAACACATCAACAAGCAAAACAGAAAAACACGAAACCAAAATTTCAATTGCGTTGAAAACAAAACAGCTTTTTCGCACACTCACCGCTTTCTATAAATCTTCAACTGAGTATTTCACATGCAGACCAACAGCACAGAGTTCACGTGGGTGGGTAATGTGCCTTCCACAATGAAATATCAGAATTAAATATTCTTACTATCGCTCATAGGTTACTATTCACTGCCGATAATTCGCCTGCCATGATCCATCATTAAGGTTAGACCAAACAATAGCTGTGTAGACGGACGAACGGATAGAATAACATGATTTTTAACCCTAGCACTTAGTTGTTAAAGCACATTTCAGCCCATCTTACCAACACACAGATGTTCCTGGATCCTCTACGTAACGCTCGTCCTGACCGCGTGCACGTGATGGAGTCCTTTGAATGTTACCGCCCTGTGCACAAACCTTCGCTACGCAAGCCATTCGCGAGCTTGTACAAAACATGAAGGAGTAATAAACATGCATGGCTCCTCGATTCAGCAGCTCACAGTCTTTGTAACGCTGTGCTTAAACTGCTCGATCTTCAGGTAGTCCGGGAAATGCTACAAGCAAATGGAAGAATTTGCAGTGGAACAGACACTGGCCCCTAGCCTTACCATTGCCTTTATGTCCGATCTGGCACCACCAGTGATCGATCTCTGGCCTTCACTCTGCCGTATATACATAGATGATTGCAACCTAAGGATGACTATCAACCTCATGTTAGCTTAATAATTTAAGAAGGTATTCAATACTTAATTTAAAGCTACTAAGTAACCTAAGACCTCCCAACAGTTTACCGCCTCATTGTGGCTGGGAGGCGTTCCTAGGTATCCGGCTGCGATGTACAGAGGTAGGATTCGTTCTTCTGTCAAGGTCTTCTAAGCTGAGAAGGAGTAGAAGGAGTCTAGCGTTTCCATTAGGTAGCCTAGCTAGGAGTAAACCAATACCAGCATCCACCACCGCCCTGGTATCAAAGTCGCATGTTGGCAAATCTCCCTCTAATCCACAAGGGCTGCGACTGCCTGTGGTGATGAAAACCTGAAGCAGACTTTGGCCAGGCTGACCTCGGGATTTCAGGGAATCACAATGCCTTAGCCAGCAAATCTCCGAAAAACGGAGACTATGCTGGGGCCCTCACAACCAGCGAGGACGGGTCGTTCAAGTATCAAGTATCAACTAAGTAAATAATCTAAGTTATTGATTAATAATACCGATGTTAAATACCGGCCGGTTTGAAAAGTATTGGTTCTGTATTTGTGCCAGCTAATGTAATACCGACTGCTACAGGATGGATTAATCGTTGAAGAAGAAACTATTACCAGTGGACAATCATTATGAACAACATCGTCCTGTATGAAAGAGCATTGCCAGGTGAGTCTGCCTCGTCCGAGTGGGATTGGACTCATTCGACTCGATACCACTATGAAGACACCACATCGAGAAGAGGAACGGCTGCAGATCAATTAACTCTGAGGAAGAAGAAGACGCTGAAACATTTTTGCAAGGAACATGTTTCTATCAGCAATCAGTGTGTGTCCAAGAAAAGAGCAGAAGGAGCTCTAAAATTGGAGTGGCAAATAACCATTTCCAATGGTAGCACTTCGAGGTAGGTGTAGCGGAAAAACCAAGTTTCCAAGCGATAATTCTAGCGAGAATAAGATCCCGTTTATTTACCCTTTCATTTTCAACTAAACAAAATTTGCTAAAAAGGGCTCTCTAGAGAATTCGGTAACAGTGATACAAATAACACCGAGCACTCTATGATGCCGGCAAGTTCGTAGCTGCCTGTATGACCATCCATACACAGCGCATAGTTGTATGTGTTTCAACTGCGGAGGCGATGATTGTATGAGTTCGGGCACGGTTTATCCGACTTATTGTTAAGCGTGCGTGAACGAATATATTGGCGAAACGGGTTGACAATTCTGCCTTCGTATAAAAGAACGTCTAAACGGTACATTTAAAGTCAAACCAAATATACACTAGACAATATAGGACACAGAGACATAAGAGGGAAGAATTTGAAATGGAAGTTACCGTCTCCGCATAGGCATTGAAAACACCAGCGCGCAAAACTCTGGATGCATTCTGGATAAATTCCAAAAACCCAAAAATAGACGGCAGGGAGGTATGTATCGCTTTAACGCGTGATCTCATACAAAACTTAAGTCTCATCTTCAAATATGAGAGGCACATTACCTATCCATGTGAACTCTGTGTGGTTGTTCTCCACGTGATTTACTTAGTGGAGGACCCACAGAAAATAGCGAGTTTGCGAAGGTGTTTTGCTTTCAATGAAGTTGAAATCTCAGGTTTGGGTTTTTTTGCTTTGGTTATGGAAGTGTTTGTCTGAGTGAACTGCCAAGTCAGTCATGTGGAACGAATTATTTCTCCCAAGGTTGTTTTTAAAGCAAATTCTTTTAGAATATTCCTAAACAACCTTGCTGTTAATAGAACATTTGCAGTCTTCAGAAATGAACATTTAAGAGGAGTTTTCTCATCTGGATACTGTGATACATTTGCTCCATGCAACAACTTTGTGGATTCGTGACAATTTAGACATATTCATAACGACTTGTCTGAAGTCAAACTGAGGTTTTCAGGAGAATGCGAAGTCACCCAAAATGTAAGTTCTCGCGAATAAAGAGTATAGTAAAATGCCCGTGGGTGCTCTTCAAGGAAACAGTGAATTATTTGATCAATGCCGTGGCTAATAGAAATCGATCTTGGGAACTGCTACAAATGTGTTATATTCATGTAGAACTGTTAGTGTGCTTGAGTATCATCTGATCTTTCCCTAGTTTTATAGATACTTCGCTTATTTTTAACCGAATACAGTAAGGTACAATTGCCTGTTCATAGCATATAAACACCGTGGAACGAATTATTTCTTCCAAGGTTGTTTTTAAAGCAAATTCTTTTAGAATATTCCTAAACAACCTTGCTGTTAATAGAACATTTGCAGTCTTCAGAAATGAACATTTAAGAGGAGTTTTCTCATCTGGATACTGTGATACATTTGCTCCATGCAACAACTTTGTGGATTCGTGACAATTTAGACATATTCATAACGATTTTATATAAGTTTATTATTCCGCAATGGTGACCCTGAAGTGTGCTCAACATTGTTCACTCACTTAGGAAGCCGCCATTGCAATGAATTCCATTGGTAGCATTATAGAGGTGACTTAAGCATATTTGTCCTATCTAACGACCTCTGGGGATTTGCAGATGCGACAAATCAGTGTCTATCAGTATTATGGTCATATGTCAAAAATTTGCCGACCGTGGAGTCATGGAATACTTAGTGAAATCGATGTCAGCAGTCGAAGCAATAACTAACATAATGTGTACTGCAATGCGCCTCTAACCATTACTTTAAACAAGGCCTCATAGAAAACAGTATACAATTCAGGGATGCCGCGAGAACACAGATACGTTTGTAACTTATCCCGGACCTTGGAGTGCTAAAAGATCAACTGACTATGGATTTGGGATCTTAAGGATATACAACTCAACTCACGTTCATTTTCAACAAGTAGCAGCTGCTAAGGTGGTAAATTTGCGTCCTCGTATTGGATTTAAAGAGTCAAAACTTTTTGTTCATTAGAAACATTTAAAATTATGTCGAAACTCTTTTTTGGTGTTAACAATTATGGTTGTAACAATGTTTAGTAATACTAGTAGCAAAATTTCACTCTGCGTATTAGGTCTTCCCGAAAATAATGTCCTGTTTCAACCCGCATATTTAAAGAAACCATATCTCAGCTCAGAACGAACTTCGCTAATCGAGACAAAAATCATAAGAACTTACACATTTTTGTCTAAGAGAAATACGCTTATTATGGTAGTTGCAAAAAATTCGGGACTTTTGGAGACGATGAAGTCATTGGAGCCGATATCGGCATCGGTTTGGTTTGTTAAGCATTTCTCACACAGGACGTTTTCCAGATGTTTGAAGAAGTGGTTAGCGGTAGACGAGAGGACTCACGAGTTTGGTGAACGACGCTTGCAGCGTCGATTGGCCCGACATGTGACCAATCGTTTTCGTAGAAAAGGATTAGTCACTTTCTGCCTACCAGTGGGCCACACAGTTGTTGAGCTTTCTCTTGCAATTCGTCCATTTTCTAGGCGTACTTGGTCGCCATAATAATTCAATCAGATTCAGGCAGCCGTAATGGGTCAAAACAACTATAAACCACTAAACGGTTAGCATGTCAGCACCATCCTCTTATTTTGCAGTTTTTCGACAATAATTTCGAAAAAGAAGTCATTCTGGTTGCGCAGTAGCGCCGACGATGCCTTGGTGATTGCTTTCTTTGTCATTTAATTCGTGCGCCATCAATTTTGCAAGTCTCTTCGAATTTCCAGCTTGCTAAAGTGCTCAGAAACACTTTTGATGCTCATGAAGTGTTTTTCTATAAGTTCTCGAACAGCTTTGCATGTATTTGCTTCTATCTAAGCCTTCAATTCATTGTCGTCAATAACCAGGCCGCCCACGTACTCCCTCATCTTGAAAGTCGAACTGGCCACAACGAAATTTGTCGAACCAGCGTTGCAATCGTGTTCGATAACACTTTCCTTGCCCTCTTACCCATTAATATCCCGAGCCGTATGACCGCATTACCTCCGATTTTGAATTCGTGAAAGTATATTTGTCGAAACTGCTATCTTGACTTCTGAAACTCTGACCTTTAACGTTTCTCAAAACTATAAACTATAATATAATCCGATTCCACGGAGCCAAGGTATCTAAAACGAGCTTTGTTGTATACATGGCAGTATTCGGAAAAACACAACTTCTTGGACAGATACAAGAAGAACAAAAGCACAAATTGGACATCAAGTTCGCAAGGACCTATCATATCGCATGAAGAGCAAACGCAAAGAATTCTCTTGGGTCTTGACTACTGGTCTATTTCCAAAGTAGCCATGTAAAACATGGCTAATGATTTTCTGCACTAAACCTAATTCAAACATAAACTATATCCATTCTGAGAGATGTGTTGATTATTTGACACAACAAATGAAGGCTTTCTTCAAAAAATGAAATGGAACCAACGTATCGACTTTTAGAAATCATAAAGTCAGAAAGAAGCATGAAAGAAAAGAAAAGAAGTGGAACCATTGTGTACTTTTAGGGTTTTGTTCCGCACACTTATATTTGATGACTTGGAAATGGCAAAGCGATTGTGGCTACTTACATCACTCGCCTTTAGCTTCGTGATTTTTAAAATCCATTCTTTTGAAATTTTACAAGTGTCAAAAACTTTATAAGGCTTGTCACTGCATGAAAATACTGCACTTCATTAAGCACTAATGTGGTTTTAGGACGAAATTCAAGACGATCTATGGATCATGAAGCATCCTGGACATTCATACCGCAAAGAACATCACAGATATTTTCTGTAATTTATTTATTTCTTATTTCTATTATTGCTGATTTGTGGACGCATTGATTCATAATCTTTTCCTACTGGAAGGATGTCTAATTTATTAGTCACAGAGCTATGTGATCCCTCTTCAGCTGGTGAGAAAAGAGGTTAAACATGGCACATGATCTCACCCTGACGCCAGGGATGGATTGGGGGATGAATTCTGCTGAGCTAGATCAGCTTCTACTTTCCGTTTGCACTTCGACACGCTCGTTCAAGAGTGCTTTTATGTACACCTGCATCTTTCTTGCTCAGTAATTCGACCAAAAAACCTACACTCAGGGGATGGAAATCATTGCTTGGATGGTTAATCGTCATCACTACTATGTAAATACCACTTCTATTCACCGAGAGACCTGCCAATTGTTGTAAATGTAGTAAACAACCCCTAGATGCCATCGCTATGAGCTGTGAAGATGTTTTTTGGTTCAGTGTCATCCTTAAAACTAAGAGAGTCTAAGGTGTGATGGTGGTGCAAGAAAAAAGCCAGTAAACCTCGCGTTCCTTTTAAAATCTATTAATGTCAATATTTAGATAGACTAACTGGACTAATAACTATTTGTTCATACAGCCCACAGAAATTAACAATGTAAGCCTCATTGAGGAACTGAAGCGAGCAGCACAAGCATAATTTGGTTTTACTAGCAGATAAGAAAAGGCTTCAGTTGGCAAAGGCTTTATTAGAGTGAAAATCAAAACTCTCCCAACACGTCGTATTAATAGTGATGACGGGAATTATTGTTCTCGCCGGCACGAGCCTGGTCATGAGCACCGATTGGCGGAAAAACGAACAACTGGAATTGGATGTATACTGCTGGAAAGATATAGCTGGCTGTGACACTCTCCGAAGACTGCACGACGAACATCTGGATATCTAAATGAGATAAACAATTTTACAGTTCTAAAAAGTTTTTCATGAGAAAGATTATTGATTTTAATAAGGAGTCATCTATGAGCTGAAGTGAACGTCAAGCTGCTTTTACTTCTTATTTTCTGCCTATTACAATTTCTATAGCAGGGTATTAAGCGAAACATAACCACAACGTTGCTCAGATATTTGCAAAACTCCGGAGTGCAGGTGTCTGCGGTGGAGAACGAATGCGCTATTACCCTTTCTGGGGGCTAACGCCACCACACCATGCGGGTCGTTCGTTTCGCCTCCGCCAAACGTCAAACTTTGCTGCTGATTAAGACTACGGTGGTCCAATTGAGAATACATATGATGAAAATTGAAGTAAGAAAGAGGAGGAGAAAGCAAATAAATGCAAGAGGATGTAACTGTAAACTGGAGGAAATATTCATGGCAAAATTTCATGTTGCTTACGGAACCACCTAGTCCAAGTTTGTGGAACAATGCAGAGAAGAGATACAAGAAAATCAGGAAGAGGAAAGAACAGATATATTGCCGGAAGCTGGAAACGTCTTAAATGACATCCTGCAACGCACTCAGTCATTTCATTTATTGTCGAAATAGAGTAGCTGTTCTTTTACAAACATAAAAAACATGTACGCCTTGTTCTCTAGCCACTTATCACCAAGGTCCTAAAGAGTAGGTATGTCGTCCAATCAGCTTCCTTTTGAAATTCGACACATTATGCTGCCTGTTGATAATCATATGCGATTTGACACGACGAACTTTATCTGACTCACGAAAATTTATTAACCTACGGCCAAACCTGGCCGTGCAGAGCAGAGGGCGAACGCGCCCTGCATTACATATGGGATCGACTTCCGCACGCAAACTTTACCAAGCCTTCTATCCTTATGCGGTCTGCAAACTGATACCAGACTTGTCTGGGAGGGTGGCAGAACTGACTCGATACATCGGTTGACCACTCCGAGTCATTGTACATTGTAAGGACCAGACATGCAATCATTCACCTCTAACGATGCCTAATGAAGTAGAATGCATGGTGCATCCCTCATGGCTTGGTTGATTGAACAACACCGGGTGATTCATCCCTTTTTTGTATTACGAGCATACCTTATCAACACATCGGTGCGAATATCGATCAATATCGAGTAGTGCAGAAGCACCCATCCTGGGTTTTCGTGAGGTTCAAAAACATAAAATCCACATAAGTATCCAAAATAAGCAAGCGGTCGAGATTATCGTATGCTGTAGGGTGGGCGGTACTAGAAGTATTCTGCATCATGTGAAAAGATGTAAAGTAGAGATCCACACAGCCACGACTTATATTGGAGGTTGCAAATTATATACTCTGTCGCATATGATAAGATGAGAAAAACCAGGTGGGACAGGTACATCAGTGGTCTTGATGAAGAACCAAAAGACAAAACCCTCCGTGATTGTTTCACTGGAAGTCAACCGCACTAAGGTGATAATGTTCAGCATTCCGCTGAGGACTCTATTAAGGATGTAGTCTTCCTCAAGGAGAAACCCACAAAAAATAGGAATCGATTCACATAAAAATTATATGAAAAGATCACTTATGTGATGATACTCACCTTCAGTGATCGCGTTTTATATGATAGGAAGATCAACTGAATAAATCTAATGCAATTTTCTTTTCAGAAGACCTCTTAAAGCAACGCATGTCCCATTATCGTATTGTCATCCGAAGCACTGTAAGGAATTGCTCACTCCAGAAGACATTAAAGACGTCCTCGATTTTTGATTAGCTACAAGGAAATAAACAATTGATAATGTTTAGTCTTACAACCACAACGGTGCTAAGATATTTGCAAAGCTTCGACTCCAGGCCACATCGAACCACAACTTCCCTATCCAGGGACTCGCGCATTACACAGTGCACAACGGAAGCCCTAACTCTGCGTTTCTCACAGCTAGTTTTCTATCTAGCGCTGCCATCAGCAATCACACGCCATCGGGATTGATCTGTGGAACAAATATCGGCATTGAACCCAGATAAGCTGAGGCTGCAGTCGGAATCACAATAAATTATAGTAGACGGAAAACAAAATGCTAACAATACTCACTCTATTAATATAAAATATCTAAACACATTTGGTTTATTTGCTGCCTACTAATTTTTTCATGGCAGGGTTTCATATGAAATACAACCACAAGGATCCTCAGATATGAGCAAAGCTGGAAACCTCAACAGGGCCTCGAACGCGCGACTTTCCCTACCTCAGGCTCACCTGCTATCCATCCCACAACGCAATCAGAAATCACCCATCCAAGAAAATAATCTGGAGAGCATAAACAGACAAAAACCCACTTAGGCTGAAGCGGCATCGGAAGCCACAATGTTCTAACTTCTAGTAACTGCTTATTCTTTTTTTCACAGCATGCGTACAAATAATAGGATAGAGCTCTCTGCGTTGATCAATCCATAAACGATACGTCATGGATTCCACTTTATTAAGGATCGTTTGGAGTTGATTGAATGCATTTGTTTTCTAGCTTCACAGTGACCCGAGGTGTTCTACAGAAGTACCGAGTCAGTGCTGCTATCCTCCTAGAATTCTGGTACCAATTTGCCGGTCGCGGAGGCATGGAGGGCTTGGTTTGCTTAGGGTGCTGGGAGCGATCCCATGTATAGCGCAGGGCGCCTCCGACCACTGCGCCACATGCACTCCAATTTGGCACGGCATTATATTAAATATACCTAATTTAATTCTTAAGACGTAATTTCTATTGACCTCAGCATTGAAAGGTAATTCGCTAGTTTCTTGACAAACACACATGAGGCTGCTGTTATTACATATTATTTGTTCGCAATAACCGACGTTCCGGCTTGTCTAACTTTCATCAGTTCCTGAAGAGAACAACTTAATTGCAACCTATCCAGCCAAACATCTCCATAAATTCAACAAAAAAACCACGATACGTAATATTAAATCGCACTGAAAACGAAACATCTACACACAGTCAGCGCTCTTTCTGTGTCTTCCACCGAGAATCTGATTCAGTTGTTCTTACAATAAAACCGATCCCAAGTTATCTCTCATTATGGCTCACCTCTTCATGTTAGCTGGTAACCTCCGTCGAAAAATCCTGTGGAATCCACCTCTGCCGAAAAAATCTCAGCGCGACTTGAGGATACGATAACAGGCACGCCAATTTTCATAAAGAAAAATTGTCAGTCCCACATGCTTGTGTACAGCGACTTCAATGTAGTCAGAAACAAAAAGCTTGCAGACTAAAAATGAGAAGTGGCTATGTCCAGAAATGAGGAAAACGTGCTAGACCGCATTGGTTAATTTCTAGACACATACTGGCGAATTCGCATCTACACATGAGAACACAATGGATATAAAAATTTCATTGGTGCTTAACCTAAGCATTGGAACGCACTGCTGAAGCTATTTGAAGAGACCGAATAAATGAAGAAATTTGAGGTATTTAATTGAAAACAGTAAAGTAAGTCAACCATAATCTATAATTTCCTGACTGGAATTCCTCTTCAGAGGGAGTAGCTGTAGAGCACATGAAAGCACAAATGTCGTAAAATCTAGCACTTCAACCTAGGAATTGAGAAAGAGACACCTAATATCGTAATGTTTGCCAATGCGACTGTTACGTCTCATATGAGCATTATAATCAGAGACATTATTAGCACCGTAGAAAAGCTGTATTTAGAAAAGTACAAATCATTTCTAGACGATATTACGCCTTTAGGAAACAATTTCTCAAAAAAACATCCAGTATGCACCAATTCAAGGTTACAAATTCCCTACTCTAACCGTGCTTTCCTAATGGTGTAAACAACACTTCAAAAATCAGCGGCTTGTAAGCAAATCGATAGTAACATCAAATAGCTGCTCCTTTCGTTGTAACCGCATCTCGTCAACAGAAACTCTCGAAACTCCACAAATCTTTCTATGGAAGACTAATTATGGTGAAAAATTAATTATAAAGACGTCCGAATAACTCTGTATTGAACTACTCCTACTCTTTTTAATGGCAGGATACACTGCGAAATATAACTTCAATGTTGCTGAGATATTTGCAAAACTCCGGAGCGCAGGTGTCTGCGCTGGGAAACG